GGGAGGTAGAGCTAAGCGATACGCGACCTCGCCTACTCGTTCGAGAACCTCGAACAGGCCGATGAACCGAGGGTGAAGCTTCCCCCGCTTTCCGAATCGCACAACTCCGCGAATCGGACGAACTCTAAGAAAGGCTGGCTCACCAACCTCGAACTGAATGTCTCGCCGATGATGATCGGCGGAAGATTTCTGACGACTCTGAGCTGTCCTGAGTCTCTGCCGGATCAACTCGACCTGATCTGCTGTCTCCTCGATCAACTTTGGACCGAGTACTCGTCGCTCTCCGACGTCGTCCCAATAGAGAGGGGAACGACGCTTGCGACCGTAAAGTGCCTCGTAAGGAGCCATCTGAATAGAAGAATGGTAGCTGTTGTTATACGCGAACTCTGCGTACGGCAACAACGACTCCTTAGCACCCCTGTCAACAACCAAAGCGCGAAGCATATCCTCAAGCGTCTGAATAGTCCGCTCTGACTGACCATCTGTCTCTGGATGGTCGGCTGAACTGAACTCAAGCTTCGTGCCCATCGCCTCATGCAATCTGTGCCAGAATCGACTGACGAATCTGGGATCTCTGTCTGATACAATCATATAGGGCACTCCGTGGAGTCGAAAGATCCCACGGGCATATATCTCAGCCAACTTATCCATGGACATCCTCATCGAAACGGGTAAGAAATGCGCGACCTTAGTCAATCTGTCGACCACGACCTAGATAGCGTCGTGATGTTCAGACGACCTCGGCAATCCCGTAACGAAATCCATCGTGACTTCCTCCCACTTCCACTTCGGAATTGGCAGTGGTTGTAGGAGGCCAATCGGACTCTGATGCTCGGCATTAACTTGCTGACAGGTTAAACATTTCTTGACGAACTCGGCGACGTCCTTCTTCATGCCTCGCCACCAGAACGACCTCTTCAGGTCGTGATACATCTTCGTGCTCCCGGGATGGGCCAGATAGGGTGCGGTATGAGCCTCTGATAAAATCTCCTTCCGCAACGCCTCAACTTTCGGGACCACAATCCTGCCTCTGAACTCTAGGGCACCATCGGCACCTAGATGAAAACCCTCGACGCCTCCGACGTGAACCTTAGCCTCCATGACACGAATGAACTCGTCAGAAGCCTGTTCTCGCCGGATTCTCTCTCTCAGCGTCGGCTGAAGCTGCATAGCACTGACACTGGCACTGGTACTCCCCGAAACTGCTATGGGAAGTGCATCAATCGCCTGAAGCTGCATCCGGGCAAACTCCTGAATCAGCGGACTGTGCTGAGTAATTACGTACGTCAAATCACCCCTCACCTGTCGGCTTAGGGCATCTGCAACGACGTTCGCCTTTCCCGGATGGTACTGAATAGAGCAGTCGTAATCCTTTACGAGCTCTAACCAACGGCGCTGTCTCATGTTGAGCTCCTTCTGAGTAAAGATATACTGCAGGCTCTTATGATCTGTGAAAATCTCACAGTGACCGCCGTAAAGGTAGTGCCGCCATATCTTGAGAGCATGAACGACTGCTGCTAACTCCAAGTCGTGCGTCGGATAATTCTGCTCATGCGGCTTAAGCTGACGGGAAGCATACGCAACGATCTGGTCGTCCTGCATAAGGACACATCCCAAGCCCTGTCTCGAAGCATCGCTGCAAATAGTGAAACTCCGAGAAGGATCGGGAATAGTCAACACCGGTGCTGAAGTTAAT